GAATTGTCGATCAGTTTCGTAAATTTCGAAATTTGCGAAACTGGGATTTTGGGATTTTTGCGCAGGCATAAGTACCCTTCAAATCCGAATTTCGACTTCGGGTTTTTTGCTATTTTTATCCTCATATTTCGACATGCGTGCCTCCCAGCAGAAGTTTTTCAATATCTTCCCCCACTCCCGAGATACCCCGGGTACCTATACAATTTAGGTACCATGGGGCAATTATTTTGACAAATCCCTATTTTTCCCAAATGCCCCATCATATTAGACACCCGAATGCAAAACTTTCAGACCCCTAACTCAATCCGGTAAAGGGTTATAATTTTTCAGCCTGGGGGCAAAATTTTTGCGCAGGCATAAGTACCCTCCAAGTTGGGATTTCGACTTCGAGTTTTTTCCCGTTTATATCCTCATATCCCCACTTGCGTGCCTCCCAGCAGAAGTTTTTCGCTATCCCCAACCGTTAAAAAGATAGCCCCGGCACCTAAGCGATTTAGGTACCATGGGGTAATTATTTTGACTTTTCGATAATTTTCCCAAATAGCCCGTCAAAAGTACCCCCCAAGATGTACAACTTTCAGAAGGCTCCCGGCCTTCGGCCGGGAGCTTTAATTTTTTCTAAAAAAATACTCTCATAATTATAGGTATAATATAAATATCAGCTGTTTGTTCTTTTTAATAAAAACATTTGTTTCAGTTTTATGTTTTTAAAAACATTTAAAAAGTTTTTTTTGTCTCAATTCTGTTTTGGTTTGAAAACACGGGTATTTTTCCTCTTATTTCATAAAAATTGAAAATACAAATAAAAATAACCGGAAAATACAAAAACTTTCTTTAAGTATTATTTCAATGTATTTTTGATGTATTTTCCGTATTTAATGTATTTTCCGGAAATTATTAAAATCCAATTGTATTTTCGTAATTAACTGTTGTGTTTTCCGGAAAAACACATATATTAAACAGGTATATAATCTATAATGTATTTTCCGGAAAATTGTATTTTCGTTATTAACTGTTGTATTTTCCGGAAAAACACATACATATATTAAATACCCAATACTGACTATTTTTTATAATGTATTTTCCGGAAATGTGTGTTTCTCCCCCATTTATTTTAATATAGACATAAAATACAAAACCGGAAAAAATACATTATGATAGAATCTTATATTTTTAAGGGAATAATAATGCAAAAAATAAATAATAAAATTTAAATTTAACTTAAAAACAATGTCAACACGTCAGAGACACAGTACTGGTAATTTAAATACAGAAGGTTTAAATTCTAATAAAGAAACACCTAAGAAAGGCATTTTAAAAAGAAGACCACACACATTTCATGTAAGTTCTGATTTTTGTATTTTATTAAAATTCTGATTTTTTTATTAATTATCAGAATTTTCAATTTTATAAGTATTTCAGACTATAAGATAAATAACATAATATTTTCCGGAAAATAATTAAATTCTGATTTCTTATTAAATTCTCTGATTTTTGTTCTGATTCAGTTTTCAGATTATCAGATATTCTGATTTTTTTTACTTCTGTACGAAATAAATTCTGATTTTTTAAATTAATTATCAGAATTTTCAATTTATTCTGATTACAAAATAAATTCTGATTTTATTTTTTCCCTTATTTCAGAACAATTACTAATTAGTTAAAAATACAGATATTCTGATTTCTAATTTACGCAAACCAAACCAACATCCAGTGGTCTTTTACCTTTACTTTTAAAACCAATTGAGAAAAAGAGTAAAGTGTCTAAAAATAAAGAAGATCAAATAAAAGACAAGAAAAAAGATTCCAATGTTTCTGAAACTTGTTTGGAAGAGAAAATGCCTGAGAAAATTTTAGAGGCCCAATTAATACAAAAAATACCTCAACGGGTTGAATTTGCTGAAATGAATGCTGGTGAACTTTTTGTTCGTGGGATTTCTTTAAATTTTAATTTTTAAGTTTTTGGTGGATCAATAGAGACTGAAGGAGGTGTAAATAAAAGTTTTGATAGTGTTAATGAAGTTGAAAAAACAAGTAGCTTAAAAAACCAAAAATTAGAAGAGCCAGAAGTTATCTACGTCCTCCTAAAATTCTCAAAATTTTCGCCTGCGGCGCTGGAAAATGAAGAATTCTTGTTTTTTTGGCCATCCATAATTTTCAAATCTTCGTCTACGGCGCTGAAATGTTGAATTTTTTGGTCTACGTCCTCCTAAAATTCTTAAAATTTTCGCCTGCGGCGCTAAAAAAGGAAGAAATCTGGCTTCTTGGCTTCCATAATTCAAAAAATATTCTTACTACCAAAAACTTCTTACTACCTTCCCAAATATCTCTCGATATCCCTATTAATCATTTAATATCATTTGATTAAAGGGAAAAGTTGAATTTGGAGAAGACTTAACTCTCCTTGATCCTTCCTCTCCTTGATCCTTCCAAATCTCATGATATTCTCCGTAATCCTCGATATCTCAATAAATCACCTTGATCCTCTAAATCCCCAATATACTTCATAATCCAGCTGTAATCATTATCCATTCAAACACTCATATTTTCGGCTTTACAATTTTAGGTGTGTTTAATTTTGAAAAAAATACTTAATATCTCGTATCTCGTGGTCTCGTATCTCGTGAAATCTCGTATTTTTTGAGAGATCTCGTATCTCGTTTTATCTCGTTCTCGTATTTTTTTGAGAATCTCGTATCTCGTAAATCTCGTGTCTCGTATTTTGTGGCACGAGCTGCACCCCTGGTACAAACATTGATAAGGAGGGAGAAAAGAAGAATGAAGTAAATAATAATTTACAGCAAAATTTACAAAACAAATTAATAGGTGAGCTAATAATTCCGGAAACACAAAATAATCAGTAGAAATACATTTTCCGGGAATAATATTCCGGAAAAGTATTAAAAGAAAATACTTACGGATTCTTACAAATATGCTTATCGGAAAATACATTATTCTTTTGTATTTTCATTTAATATTTCTTTCTGAATATGTTCCGGAATGTATTTTCCGGAAATACTTGAGAATATTCAAATATAACAGAAAAATACTTCCGGAATTTAATTATTTTCCGGAAAATACAAGAAATATTATTAAATATAGGACGATAATTCCTGAATGTATTTTCCGGAAAAATAATTAATAGACATATTCCGGAGGAAAACACATTAAGAGATATTAACCAAAATACATATATTCCGGAGGATGTATTTTCCGGAAAATTAAATATTTATATTCTTGGGAATAAACATCCCCAAATTACCGTATTTCCTATATTAGAGCCCCATGGGGCTCTATTTTTCAACTATCCTCCTAGGTGGGGCTGTATTAAAGGGTGGGGCTCTAATTGAGGGTGGGGCTCTATTTTTCAACCCTCTTTTGAGATAGAATCCCATTTATTATATCCATTGCAACTAGAGATAGGCCGGAGGGGTCGGTTGATAAAACTGAAAAATATCGAAAGACAATCGATATTTTTCAATTTTTCAAAAAAATTAAAATTTTATAAGCAATGAGTAACAAAATAATCGCAATAATTCAATGAGGGTAAGATTAATTATGAAATATTTGTAGATTTTGACGGATTAAAGGGAATTTTAGGGGACTTGTATTTGACATTGATGGATCATATGTAGGTATATAAGCGATTTTAAGGGATTATGGGGAATATCAGAGGATTAATTTTATATTGAGAGATTTAGCGGGGTTAAGAGTGATATTTTGAATGAGGTATTAGTAGGCATATGAAGGGATTTTTTGATGAAGAGGGACATCGGTGATATAAGGGATATCTATCGGGATAAAAGGAATACCCACTATATCTCTTCCTTTTCCCCTTAGTTAATCCCTCATATTTCCCTTAATCCTTATGTCCCCATGGCCCTTTATTTCCTTAACTCTTAATAATCTTAAAAATTATTGGGATATTTTTTATTTTTCCTCCAATATTTTTAGGTGGGGCTGTATTAGGGGTGGGGCTCTAATTGAGGGTGGGGCTCTATTTTTCAACTACCCTCCAAAGTGGGGCTGTATTAAAGGGTGGGGCTCTAACAGAGGGTGGGGCTCTAATATAGGAAATACGGTATGTTAAAATAGTAAAAATAATTTTTGCAGAAACAGCATTAAACAATCCGAAGCCTGTATTAAAATTACTAATGGACAATTCACCGAATATTAAAGCCTAAAAGGGAGGAATAAAAAAATCCAACTTTGATTGGCGGGATTTTTTTATTTAATTAATTTTTACATAATTCTGTCATTTTATAAATGGAAGAATTTAATTTTGAATAAAAATTTTGCATTAAATTTTATTTAAAAAAATTTTTCCACGTAAAATTTTTTTCTCCGCTTTAAAAAATTATTTAGACAAAAATAAACAACAACTGTCATTAAATAATTTCCCCTTTATTTTTAAAAAATAAGGAACATGCAAAAGTCGTTTTTAAATAAACACATTTTTTATTATAAATATCAGCTGTTTGTTCTTTTTAATAAAAACATTTGTTTCAGTTTTATGTTTTTAAAAACATTTAAAAAGTTTTTTTTGTCTCAATTCTGTTTTGGTTTGAAAACACGGGTATTTTTCCTCTTATTTCATAAAAATTGAAAATACAAATAAAAATAACCGGAAAATACAAAAACTTTCTTTAAGTATTATTTCAATGTATTTTTGATGTATTTTCCGTATTTAATGTATTTTCCGGAAATTATTAAAATCCAATTGTATTTTCGTAATTAACTGTTGTGTTTTCCGGAAAAACACATATATTAAACAGGTATATAATCTATAATGTATTTTCCGGAAAATTGTATTTTCGTTATTAACTGTTGTATTTTCCGGAAAAACACATACATATATTAAATACCCAATCCAAACTTTTTTTATAATGTATTTTCCGGAAATGTGTGTTTCTCCCCCTTTTATTTTAATTTAGAAATAAAATGCAAAACCAGAAGAAATACATAAAATTATGAATTTTATATTTTTAAGGGAATAATAATGCAGAAAATATAAATTTAAATTAAACTTAAAAACAATGTCAACACGTCAAAGACATAGTACTGGGAATTTAAATACTGAAGGTTTGAATTCTAATAAAGAAACGCCCAAGAAAGGCATTTTAAAAAGAAGACCACACACATTTCATGTAAGTTCTGATTTTTGTATTTTATTAAAATTCTGATTTCTTTATTATCAGAATTTTCAATTTTATTCTGATTTCAGACTTTAGAATAGACTTTAGAATAATTATCATAATATTTTCCGGCAAGTAATTAAATTCTGATTTTTTAAACTTTACGAAGTAAATTCTGATTTTTTGAATTAATTATCAGAATTTTTAATTTATTCTGATTATCAAATAAATTCTGATTTTATTTTTTCCCTTATTTCAGAACAATTACTAATTAGTTAAAAATACAGATATTCTGATTTTCAATTATAATTTCAGCAAACCAAACCAACATCCAGCGGTCTTTTACCTTTACTTTTAAAACCAATTGAAAAAAAGAGTAAAGTGTCTAAAAATAAAGAAGATCAAATAAAAGACAAGAAAAAAGATGGAAATATTCCTGAAACTTGTTCGGAGGAGAAAATGCAAGAAAATATTTTAGAGGCCCAATTAATACAAAAAATACCTCAACGGGTTGAATTTGCTGAAATGAATGCTGGTGAATTTTTTGTTTGTTGGGGGTTTTTTAAATTTTAATTTAAAGTTTTTGGTGGATCAGTAGAGACTGAAGGAGGTGTAAATAAAAGTTTTGATAGTGTTAATGAAGTTGAAAAAACTTATACCTCAAAAAACCAAAAATTAGAGGAGCCAGAAGTGAAGGAAAAAGAGGAGGAAATTTTGCCTAAACAAAAAAGAAAAACGGAAGGGAAAAAGCCACCAGAAGCTATTGTTTCGCCATTAATAAGGTGACAAAAAATAAATTGTTTTCAAAATTTAAAAAATGTTTAGACAAAAGCAAATAAAAGAAACAACATTTCCACCTCCTCCTACAACGCCTCAGGAACAGCCTTCTTCATCTAGTAGGGGAGAGGAGGATAAAGGCATCGATCCCAGTGTTGTTTCACAAATTGTAGGGAATTGGTGGTTTGGGGAGCGGTCTGAATCTAAGGAACAGCAGCAAACACAGGCTGGTCATGAAGACAGTGATTCTCTCAAAAAGGAATTAAGGTCCTCCAAAATTATAAATTTTTATGTTCCCTTCGCATTAGAGGTAATGTGAAGGGAACATTTTCTTTAAAATACAAAAAATCCAAATTAATTATAGACGTGCCCAACTTGCTTGCAAAGAGAAAGAGCGCCATTTAGGCCAGTTACGTGAAAGACTTGCTGAAATTGAAACAATTGTTTCGTCTGGAAGGAGTGCACAACTTGCATATTGTGCGCAATTAAGCCAACGATTGTCAGAAAGGGAACAGGAATTTGTTACTGAAATGGATGGACTTATAGCAAGTCATGAACATCGTGTTAGACAATTAGTGCAAGAAATTGTTGATTTAAGGGCTGAATTGGCTAGGAAAGATAAGTATGTTCATTGAGGATAATAATAATATGTACGAGTAGTGAAGCTCGCCCTTTAGAAGCTCTCCTTCATAAAATTCTATGTTCCCTTCGCATTAGAAGGTAGTGCGAAGGGAACATTTTCTATAAAATAAAAATTTATTTTTCTACCTTTATAATAAGATGCTAAGAAGTAAAATAATTTAGAGCCCTATTGGCTTATGAACAACTTTCCCATCAAGAACAATCAACTCAAACAGATAATATAATTATCACAGAAGATTCTACATCAATTAATGGGTTTGTAGGGCAACAAGAAAATGATGGGAAATTATTAGAAAATAAAATAGAAGTAAGTAGGTCTCCAACAACTGATTCTATTAGATCAGTAACACAACCTCAAATTATTCAAGCACCTAATAAAGCCTCAGTTGTTCAAATAGGAGCTGAAGTTTTGGCAACTTTAGAAGTATTTTCAATTTAAATTCTGATTTTTTACAACACGTTTTGAAGGCTTATCGTGCAGAAACAGCTGTTTGGAGAACTCGTTGTGCCAATTTAGAATTAATCATGCAGGATTTACTTTTGCGAGAGGGGGCGAGAAGGGTATCTGAAAGTGGGGGAGGAACAGCTATTGGAAGTGCTCTTTTTATTAATGTAGGAGAGGATAATGAGCAATTTGTGGAGGGTGAGTTTTTACAAAACAGATGAAAATTGAATAAAAAAATTTTATGTTCCCTTCGCATTAGGGGTAGTGTGAAGGGAACATTTTTTGACAAATAAAATTAATTTACGAGACAAATTTAGCCGAAGAAAATCCAGAAAATAAAAATAAACAACAAAGTAATAGCCGTCATCCAACATTAGAAAGGCAGCAAACTCTAGTTTTAAGAAAACAAAGTTCTCCTGTTGAATGTCAAATTTCTGGGTGTGTAGAACTTCGAAAAAAATTAAACGAACAAACAGAAGAGATAAATAAAATGTTGGAAGAAATAACAGAAATAAATAAAAACAAATTGGAGGCGGAAAATAAATTTAAAAATATTGAAGTAAATAATGAAAAAATGGTTAAAGAATATGAAGAATTGGCTGAATTAGCTGAAAGGAGAGGGAATGATGCCAAGGCTATTAAATTAAGTTTACAACAAGTACAGGTGAATTGTAAAACTTTAATTTTTAAAACTTGAATTTGTAAAATTTTTGTATTTAAAACTTGTTTTTCTAAACTTGTTTTACAATAATTGAATTGTAAAACTTTAATAGAACTTGAATTGTAAAAATAACAAAACTTGGGATAATAAACTTGAATTAATATAAACTTGTTTTTACAAAACCTGAATTTGTAAAGTTGTAAAACTTGAAATAATAAAACTTGGAATATTAGAAACTTGTTTTACAATACTTAAATTTTTAAAACTTAGTTAAAACTTGAATTGTAAAACTTTAATAAGGCTTGAATTTGTAAAATTGTAAAACATGAAGTAATAAAACTTGGAATATTAAAAACTTGTTTTACAATACTTAAATTTTTAAAACTTAGTTAAAACTTGAATTGTAAAACTTTAATAAGGCTTGAATTTGTAAAATTGTAAAACATGAAGTAATAAAACTTGGAATATTAAAAACTTGTTTTACAATACTTAAATTTTTAAAACTTAAATAAAACTTGAATTATTTTTCGCAAACTTAAGGTTTAATAATACCAATTAAACTTAAAAATTAATAAAAAACAGTCAGAAAGAGACCATTTGGAACAAGCGCTTGCTTATCTAGAAAGACGATGTTATGCTTTGGAACAATTAGGATTAGAAAATGGAATTGTTTTGGCAAATGAACCGCCCCTTCCTGAAGGAATAAAGAAAAGTTTAACTAGACAGGAACTTGAATTTACAGTGAGAGAATCTCAGGGAACTCAAACAGCTCTAACTGTTGATGATTTGGGGATTAACGAGAAAACTATGGATGAATTGCAAATTAGAATAAGGGTAAGAGAAGGGATTTTTGACAACTTGAACAGTCTAAGAGTAAAAATTACTAAAGGTAATGCAAAGCACATTTGCTGAGGACCGAGCACATATGGGAGAACAATTAGCGGATATCGAAAGAATTCTTTTACTCAAAACAGAATTAACAAATACATTAGCTAGTCAATTAGATGAGGCTGCAAAGAGATCAAAAGTAGAAGATGATAGTCACCAGTTTGAAAGGGATTTGTTTCGAAGGAGGTTGGAATTGGGGTGTTCTCTTTATATTTTATTACTTTTTTTAGAATAGAAGAGTTGGGCAGGATTGCAGAACGAGTGCCCATCCTTGAATCAGAGATTGAAAAAGCGCTAAGTGTTAGTTGAATTTATAAAACGAATTGTAAAACTTGAGTTATATAAAACTTGGGTTAAAATAAGCTAGCAAAACTTTCATTAAAAACCTAATTGTAAAACTTGTTTTTACAACTTGAATTGTAAAAATAACACAACTTGGGTTAATATAAAACTTGGAATATTAAAAACTTGTTTTACAAAATTTGAATTGCAAGACTTGTTTTATAAAACTTATTGTACAAAACTTAGGTAAATTAAACTTGGTTTAAAACAAGCTTGAACTTAATTCTAAAACTTGTTTTTAAAACCTGAATTGTAAAAATAACACAACACTTGGGTTAATATAAATAAAAACTTGTTTTACAAACTTGGATTGCAAAACTTGAATTGTAAACTTGAAATAATTCTAATTTAAAGGAAAAAAGCAAATGCGAGCTTCGTTTAAGAGATGTAGAAGAACGTTTGGATGATACAATGGAAAAATCATTGGAAAATGCATTGAAGAGGGAAAAGGCTCAAGAATGTTATTGGACAGAAAGAATGGATGCTGTTGGTCGAGAAAGAAGAGAAATAGCTGTGAATTTATCTTAAATTATTTTAAAATTTTTAAAATTATTTTTAGGCTCAACTCGAACATGAAAGACGTCGAGCTGCAGATGAAAGGCTTAAATGGGCGTTGGAAAGGGCTGATTTAGAAAGGCGCCTTACTTCAGCTATTGAACATGCTGAACAGCTTTTTTCCAAAGTTTTAATAGAAAATTGTTTAAATTTTTTAGCAATATTATTTTCTAGTTAAATTGCCCTAAAAGAGATGTCCAAATCGAAGTTCGTCCACGAACTTCAAATAAATATGTCTTCTGTAGACCTAATCAGAGGGATCAGCAAGTTGATAATGCTGATTTGAGAGATGAACAATTAGAAGAACTTGTGGATGAGAGAGTGGCTGCTTTTGCTGCTGAACTTGTTGAGAAGGTATGGGAAGTTGTTTGTTGAGTTGTAGAAACGAATTTATTTTTTTGTAAAACTTAAGTTCATAATAAAACTTGAACTTATATATTTTTAAGTAATAAAACTTAAGTTTGTATTCTTAATAAAACTTATGTTTATAAACTTAAGTAAAATGGTAAACTTGAACTTATATATTTTTAATAAGCTTAAGTTTGTAAATTAAAAACAAGCGTGTTTTTAATAAGTTTATAATAAAACTTAAGTTTACAAACTTAAGTAAACCGTAAAAAGAAAAATACAAATTGTAAACTAGAAAATTAAAAAAAAATAATTTCAAGCATCAACAACGCCGCAAAACATTAACTCAACAGACCACAACACCCAGTACTGGAATCGGCGCCCCAGACTTTTTAACAATAGCTTTTCAACGAAAAGGAGGACTTGTCGAATTTGGAGGTTCAATTCCTTTAGGAAAACTACAGGGCCAACAACAACAGCCCTTTTCTTCTACAAATTCAATTTCTATTGCTTCATTACCTACAAATTTGGGTTATAATTCTGATTTAAATAGACGGTCTTTTGGGGATGAAAAAGGGTTTAAATCGTGTGAAAAGTTGGAAGAGTGGGAAGAGGAGGAGACAGACGAAGAAAGTGTATCTCTCTCAAGATTAAAGGCATTTTGGAAATCTGATTAAAAATTTTTAAATAAATTTATTAGATTCCTAGACATCTTTCTCTTCCCTACAATCGTCTGGGAGGGTCAACCAAATCTATCCTGCGCTCTCATTCTGCCCCTAGAAGACAAGAAGTCGAGCATAGTAGGAAACAACATGATAAACAACAATTAGAAGAGGATGAGGTTAGTAAGTTACCGTAACTACTCTGAGTTTCTATTTATCAACATCCCTCTTTGACTAGGCTTATCTTAGATATGGGACTGGGCCTATATTAGATATTAGAGGTTGGAAGTAATAGAAGCTCATGGATCTCGGGTAGGGAGATGGTCTTCTCCATCTATTAGAGATAGGCTTCTAATAGAGGCTTTCTAATAGAGTATTTAATTTGAAAGTTGACCAAATAACTGCTTTTTTAGACCAAATAATTGTTTTTGAAATAATTGTCTTTAATCAAATAATTTTTTATAGACTCAATTCGGGGTTGCTGACAAATTAAAAGAACGAGTTACATTTATGTGTAGAAAAGCAAGTCAAAACGGAGAAAGGATAAATAAAGAAGAATTATTTGACCAATTAAATTCTTGGCTTGAAGCACTAGCAGAAAACGAAAAACATTGTTATGAACTAAAAAATCAAAATTTGGCACTTAAACGAACAAATTGTGAAATTAGAGGGAAATTAAAGGAAGCGGAATTGGAACTTTGGATTTACAGAACAGAACCTAGAAGGGAGGCGAAAATAGGGAATGATTATATAAATAAAGGAAAATGGAAGAGAAGTTGTAGTGCCGAACAAATTGGGCATAATGGACCTCCATTGTTACGTGCTCAACAATTAAAGAAGTGGAAAGAGGTTGCCGGAACGTGTTTTAGAGAGGTATTGTATTAAATAGAGAGAGTCCGGAAATATACTCCGGAAAAAGAAAGAAAATACAACTTTACAAATTGTAACCCGGAAGAAGGAAAATACAAATTGTAAACCGGAAAAGTACATAAAATACAAACTGAAAACCGGAAAAGATAAAAATACAAATTGTAAACCGGAAGAAGGCAAAAGACAAAAATACATAATATAAACCGGAAAAAATACAAATAATAAGTCGGAAAACGAAAATACAAATTGTAGACTGGAAAAATAACAAATACAAACGGAAAAATCTGGGCAAATGAAAAATACAATTTCTATCCGGAAATAAAAAATTGTATTTTTCCTTTTTCCGGAAAAATACAGTGAAATAAAATTCCTTCCATTTCCGGAAAAATACAAAATTCTGATTTATCAATAAACTTACTTATAGGTTAATAATCTCCGTAGACGACTAAATATAGTCGAAAATGATCGTCTTACCCAAATAGGGCAAGTATCTATTTTGAGAGGAGAATTGGCTATGGCTAAGGTTCAGGCTATCCATTCCGCAGCTGTTGCAAAATTTGCAGAAGAAAGGGGAAGGAATTCTACTGAATTTAATGAAAGAAACAATGAAAAATGGAAAAGTGTGCCTGAATTGGCTGAAACAAATGATTTTTGCCACCAAAATGAAATTTCTCAAGGTAGTTTAAGAATAAAAAAAAGAAGGGAGGCTATCGACGAAAGGGAAAGATCTATAGTTAGCGAGGCTTTAAGAAGGCAATTTACAACATTAAAGGAAGATAGAGACAAAAAAGTTGGTGAACAACAAAAAGTTGTGGAAGAGGTAGAAGAGAACTTGGTACTTTTCCGTTATACGGCCGCAAACTGAGTGCCAGCCGACTTTGAACAACTATTAATTAATGAAGCTTGATCCAGTACAAATAAATCTTATATCATTTAAAAGCTCTCGATATGAGCTATCCTTTTTCAAATAGAATGGATCAAGTATGAGCAGACATTAAGAAGTTATAAGCCGATAATAGTAAAAAATAACGATTTCTTGCACTTATCGACTTGTAACTTTTTTATGAGTGATCAGACCTGATCCACACACTTGGGTAAAAGATAGAGCCTGTAGATGGCTTTCGAATGATATAAAATTCATTTATATTGAAACAATCATTAAAATGTTATAACTGTTCAAAGTCGGCTGGTACTCAGTTTGCGGTCGTATAACGGAAAAATACCAAAAACCTTTTTAAAAAATTTTTTAAAATTCTCCCTAATTTTTAAGTTGAAAAATGAGCGGAAAAAAGTTTCAGAATTGTCTGAACAATTAAATCAAGTTACTGCTGAATGTGGATTATTAAGGAGAGAAAATGGAATGTATGAACAAAAGTGTGTAGAAATGGATAGGGATAGACAAAAAATGTATTTAGTTATGTTCCGGAAAGGGCAACAAGCTGCTTCAAAAAACATTCAAAAATTGGAGGAAGAAGAGGAAGAAATGGATGAAAAAACAGAATTACAAGTTGTAACACGATTTTTACATGATGCTTTCTTCTACTATTTGCTTAGTAAAGGATGTGCTAGGGAACATTTACAAGTAAGTTCGGAACCGGAAAAGGACTGGGTATCCGGAAAATTTCGATTCTGATGTTTGTCAAGGGTACACCCCAAGGTACCGCAAACCCATGGTACCGCAGAGCTGTAACTTAGTTCAGAATTATCAAATCTGGGGTGTTCTGGTATGGTTCGACTCGCCTTGATGAGCTGAATCGAACCTGCTTCCGTTTGTCAAATTTTTTCTGAACATCCCCGTATCTCTTTTTGCTGTGGAAAGGTAGGAAATCTGGCAAAAGACAAACTCTGTCCAGGGCAATCTCGACTACTTCAATCAAAATTTTGGCGGTTCCGGATATTTGTAGATTTCCCAGGATTTTCTAATCATGATTGATGGTTCCGGAATTTTCAAAATAAAGATTTTCATTTAAAATAATTACAATTTTATTCTTTTAGGCAATTATGACAATGTTAAATTTCACTCCGGAACAGAAGGATAGAATTTATAATCAACGTGGAAAATCACTTCAACCATGAAAAAAAAAGTTGTCAAAAAATAAATAGTGTGTATCAGGGATCGCGCCGACCCGATTCACAAAATCGGGAATTTGATTTTCTGTCGGCGCCTTCCCTGGTGTGTATTTAATCAAATATAAATGTTAAATTTTCTTTTTCATAAATTTATATCTCTTTAGAGATTAATTTTCCTTTTAAGTACTTGAGGAATTAAAATTTCCTCTATTTACCTCACAAATGAGTGTCACTAGTTTATAACGGAATACTGTACTGTGGCGTTAAAAGATCCATGTTAATTGTAAAATTCCACTAGAGTCTGAAGTCATTAGAGTCTGAGACCGAATTTCTTTTTTTTGTGTAATTTTTTTTCTAGGCAGAGGAAATTTTTTTCTAGTTTTTCTAGGGTTTTTTGCAATTTTTGAAAATACGTTGGCTATTGTTCCGTTTTTTTCTTTTTTTCTCTGCTACTCTCTCCCATTTTTTAACTCTCTTATTTTTTCTTTTTTTCTCTCACCATCTCTCTCATTTTTTCACACTATTTTCGTTTAGACTGAAATTTTTGTATTTTCTTGGAATTTCGATTAGGAAATTTTTTTCAAATTTAGATAAATTAAATTAATGTGCAAGACAAAAGTATAATAATGAATAAATCAATTATTTTCAATCCAAACAATCACGATCTCCACTGTTTTTTGGTGACTAAAATTTCTGCTTGGAAGGGAAAGTTTGTTGATTTTTTAAAATTATTTCTAATTTTTAATTTTTATTTTTTAGATACAAAAGAATATTTTCTGTAGGCAATTTGGCAATAACTACATACAATCCACAATCTTTGGAAATTACAAATCAAGTATATTTAAATTTATTTTTTATATTAACACTAACTAGGGAAGCTTGCGAGATGTCCGAGCTAAAAACGGTCGAGACCGGGCTCATTCGATAGAGAATGTGCGGTAATAGTGTCGTTTTCAGTCCCCATTTTTTCCTCCCCAATTTTTTACCCTATGTTTGTACGGAATGGTCAAATTTTCCCCTTTCTTTCATCAAATTTGCCTTTCCATATTTTGCCTCAAAACAATCAAAAAGATTAATTTTTTATTCAGTTCTTTCACAAGGAGAAACACCAAGCATGAAAAATGTTTTCTGGCTATTATAGAAGGAGAAATAAGTGTGGAAAATTTGTCTTTCCATATTTTAGGCAAAATATAGAAAGGCAAATTTGATGAAAGGGGAAAATTTGACCATTCCGTACAAACATAGGGTAAAAAATTGGGGAGGAAAAATGGGGACTGGAAACGACACTATTACCGAATGTGCCCTTTATAGCAAGGATTTTTAGCCGTTTTTGCCCTTTTTTTTGATCTGGCCAAGAGCTTTCCCGTGGATGAGGATATATTTCCCCGTCTCATATCTGACTCATAATATGTATCTTCCATTTGAAAATTGAGATGGCCTTGGTGGGTCTGTGTTTTTCGTTTACTCAAAGTCCAGCTCCAAGGATTTTGTTTTTTGGGGTTGTAGAATTAAAATCAGAATTTATTTAAAGATTTCAAATTCTAAAAAATTAGAATTTTAGGTTGTTTTTTTACTTTTAAAATTCTGGGTCCTCTCATATATTTTCGATTTTTTAATTTTTCGCTGTTAACTCGAAAAACTCATTTTCTCTTTTTCTAGTGGCTTTACGAAGACTTCTTTTCAATTAACGTCGTTAACGAACGTCCACGTCATTCCAGTGCTGATTCTAGTGCAAATACTCGACATGAAGATCAATTTAACATTCAGGTTTGATTTCATATGCATTCAATTTTATTCTCGAAATTTCTTTTTTAAGGTTCGAAAGAAAGGAGGCAAGTCAGATTCTATGCGGTTTTCAAGTGAATTTGCACGTGAAATTGTTACTGAAGCTCTGCGGTTTCAAAATCGATTTGCTTCTGATAGGGCAGACCAAAAACCGGTAAATTTCTTTTTTAAGTTAAATTTTGGCGTTCTTTTCGTTGGGGAGGTTTTGAAATTTTGTTTGTAAGCCTCGTTAATTTTCTGACATTTTGGCAGGTGTAAAAGTAAAATGGCTTTTTCGCGAAACCGGGATCTTTGTTTTATGATCTGCGGACAGAACTTTCAGATTGATAGAATGATAAAACCTAAAAAAATTGGTGAAAACCCCTACAAAAAATCCACATTTACTTTTTTGACATTTCATCCCAAACTATAACTTTTGTGTCAATTAAACGTTCTTTAAAATTTAAACAAAAATTTTTTAACAACAAAAAACGAAAAGAGACATTTTATCCCAATCTATATCTTTTGGTATAACAACACCCATTTCCACTATTACTAGAACATCCTTGAAATCTAAAAATTTTTTAAAAACGACATTTCCTCCCAATTTTAAAATTTATTTTATTTTTAAAAAAATCTTAGGGTTTTTTGGAAGATTTTGCAAGAAAAATTTTTGGAAGAAAAATAGACTTTAATTATAATAATTATTCAAATAAAAACGAATTATTAATTTTAAAGAGATTTCCTTGTCGAAAAATTGGTTGGTCTGAAAAACCTCAAAATTTAATTTTGGAAGTTTCTGCCTGTTCAATAAATCAATTGGAAGCAAATACAAATTCTTTGTTGAAAAATTATAATTACAAGGATATTAGATTAATTATTCCATTAAAAGGAAGACAACAAGATGCTTTTATAATTGAATTGGGTGAACAAAGGAGAAGGGTATTTTTTTGAAATTTTTTTTTGAATTTTTAGAATTATTTTTTGGGTGGTGGAAAAGGTTAAGATCTAGTTTGTCTTTTCCATTTTTATTTTCCCCAAAAATTTCTTTCCTCCGATAATTTTTCCCTATAAACTCATAATAGTCAGTAGACTTGGAATCGAACCGAAGAACTAGAATTTTTGGTCTCGGTTCGATTCTGTGTATTTGAAGATTTTCCCAGAACTGACAACTCAAATGGTCAAAATAGGTATTAAAAAGCGAGTCTATTCCACATTCCATTCATTTATTTGAAATGCCAAAAGTAAATAGGGATTTAAAGAAAAATTAAAAAGAGGGGCATAAACCAAGGGCGTATCCAGGGGGTCGGTTTCGGGGGGGGGCTAACACTGGGTGGGCGCAAAAATTTTTGGCGTTTACCTTGGCGTTCCGGACGCAAATTTTTTTGTACATAAATTTTCATTACTTCAGCGCCGCAGGCGAAAATTTTTTTGAATTTGGAGGGCCGTAGGCCAAAAAAGTTCACTTTTTAGCGCCGCAGGCGAAAATTTTGAGGATTTTGGAGCTCAAGAAGCCAGATTTCTTCCATTTTTTGCGCCGCAGGCGAAAATTTTTTAAAATTTGAGGGTCGTAGGCGAAAAAATTTTACTTTTTCGACCATCCTTCTCCTAATTTTTTCTCCCTTTCCCCCATTTCGGGGGGGGGGGGGGGGGGCTCTAGCCCCCCCCAGCCCCCCCCCCCTGGATACGCCCTTGGCATAAACTAACTATAAACTTTTACTATGGAATTTCTAAAAGTTCAAATTTAATTTTTTGAAATTTTTTGAGAATTTGGGGGAAATTAATCGCTAAATAATTTTTATATGATATTTTATCCCAATTCCTACAGGAAGAAAATATTATTCAAAAATTTTTTAATTTCTAGCACCTTTATTTTTGCGATCAAACCGAGCAATTATTGAAAATAATGCGTGATGCTGCCCTTGAATTTTTGGCTATAGATTTGCAAATTGCTAGAGATCCCTTAAATTTGGATGATTTTAAGCTTACAAGACTTGGTCTTTGCAGGTTTCTTTAATTTTTTCATTACTTCCACTAACAAATAAATGTGTTTGAATCTTTGACTCCTACGCGTTGTAAACTGAACTCTTACCAACAACCAAGAAAGTCATTTTTCAACCAAGGGATTCCGAACCTGTGACCAGGGTGTCCGCAAATGAAAAGAAATTTTTCGCAACCGCAGCTCGCAATTTTTATTTTAAAATTCGCAGTTCGCAAGTCCAAAAATCCACACAATTCACGCAGTTCTCAATCCGCAATTGCGGACACTCTTGCCTGTGACTCTTCCCACCAAGGCTGGACGGAGTTGCGAATTGGTGAAGTTGCGTTTTTTTCTTTCTTTGGCCAGCCCTGCTCCTCTCATTTCGTGAATTCAACATTACAATTAATGACTTACAATTAATCAACGAATTAATTTTTTTATAATTTCAGCAAGGATGAACAATTAACCTCATTTGTCGAATTTAATGTCCAAAAAAGTCATATCAACAGTCTAGTACCAATTCGAAGGCTTTTGTGTATTAGTGAATCGTGCATTATTGAAAGAGATCCTTTAAGCTATGCTGTTATATGTGCAAGGAATTTAAATACAGTAGGAAATTTTTTTTTGAATTTTATATCGAACTGTGACCAAAAAATTTTTAAATAAAAATTATGCCATCGTGTAGAGCATATACGTTAACCTATTGTCAATTTTTATCTTGGCCCAGACCCCTAAATCATAAAGTTATAAGGCCTCAAATTCCTCCCTGTTAGTTTATCAATTTTAACAAGGGAATAATATTAACAAGGGAACCTTTTGAATTGTGACCAAAAATTTTTTAATAAAAATTCTACCAGCATGTAGAGCATGGTCGATAACTATTATCAATTTTTGGCTTTTTTCGGCTTTACCCCCCTAAATCGGAAAGTTATAGGACTTCAAAGTTTTCGACTTTCGGAGTGGTTGAGTGGCAATAGGTAATCGACTTTGCTCTACACGATTTTTAAAAATAATTGCGAAATTTTTGGTGACAGTTCTATATGGTTCCTTGTAAGTACATATATGTAATTTTATATTTTCGTTTTTGATTTTATGTCTGTTTTTGCCTTATTTGTGATTTTTTTCGGATACATTAGATTTTTCTCTTTTTTTAAATTAATTATCTGTTTCTTTTTCCAGTTATCTTACATTATTCGTGATTTGAAAGATCCACAAAAATTTCATATAATTTATTCAAATGGTGATGAACGTTTATATTCTTCAAATGATCGGTTGGAAAAATTTTTTCTAAAAGATGACATTTTATCCCAAAATCGAAAAAATATTTTTTTAAATTTTTCTAGTGATTCTCTGTTAGCAGCATTAATAGATGGGGCTAGAAGTTGTGGAAATTATCAAATACATGTAATCTCTCCACAAAAATATAAAACAATGAGATTAGTTCCTTTTGGATTTTGTTTGGATGAAGAGGCTGAACAACACTTGCTTAAACTTATTTTACAAATTCCTCGTTAGTTTTTTATTTTTAGATTATTCTATTTTTTTAAAACATTTTAGCTGGACTTAAACGCATTGATATGATTCGTCGATTTAATGCAAATGTCCCATATAATGGATTGAGTTATTCTGCCCCTTCAGAAGTATGTATATATTTTTTATTTTTTAATAAATTTGATGCTCAAAAATTTTAAATTTAATATCTTGTTAACAATAAATTCAAAAAAATAAAAATAAATTCCACGAGCGGGTTCGAACCCGAGACCCTTTTTCAAATTTTTAAACCACTTAACCAAAGAATCAATTTTTAGGGTTTCTTCTCCGATAGCAAGGGTAAAACAATTATTTCTTGTTTGGAAGCTGTTATATTAGAACAATATGAAGTTAGTAAAATTGATCAACACGAAATTAGTATACAAATAGAAGCACAATTGTCCTGTCTTCACAGACTTTTTGCAGCAAAAGCAGGATTTCAGGCTTTTACAACAGTTGAAGGGTTTGTTGATAATTTTTATTTTATAGGGTTGGGAATTTTTTGGCTATGGTATTGGTTATGAGTTCAATTTACTTCTTAAGTCTGACCCGATACGGCTTGTTTTTTACGGGGTCAGATTCCAAACCAAATTCAATTTTTTGAATTTGGACGGTTATAGGTGAAAAAAACACTTTTGTTCAATCCTTTCCTCAAATTTTTCCCTTTTCCCCATTTCGAGGGTGGCCGAATAATCCAGAAAAATCAATTCAGCCAGTTACTACTTTTAGAAGTCAGTTCATTAGAGTTTTGTTCTTTATGGTGTCGGATTCGTAGGAAATTTTGATGGGACTCATAAGTTAGACCAGAATTTGGTTTCTTTTGTGAATTTGAAAAAAATATTTTTAGAATACGTGAACGTCTTGGAACACTTGTTGTTTCAGTTTTAAAACGCAAAGAAGAACATGTAGATTATGCTTGTGTTGAAATGCTTTGTACACTTTTACAACCTAGACATGCAAATTATGAGCTTAGAATTGAACAATTAAATAAACAGGCACTTTTATCCAATAAATTGTTTTTGGAACATTTGCTTCAATTGATTGTCAATAATGTTACAAAAAAGACAGGTTTCTTAAAAAAAATTTTTTAAGTTTAAAAAATTTTTCAAAAAATTTTTTGTTAAAGGTGCCCTTGTAATTGCTTCATTACTCGATTTCCTTGCATTCACGGTGTGTGCTCCTTACAGCGAAACAACGCCTGGAGATGTTTTTGATACAATTCTGGAAATGGTTGCACAACGTGGAAGAATTTTCTATAAGCTTTTTCATCACCCTTCGTTAACTATTGTGAAAGGAGCTGGGATGGTAATGAGAGCTATTATTGAAGAATCTTCTAGAGAGGTTTTTTGTCTTTTTATTCTTACCAATTCTTGGGTTTTTATAAGAGCGTGGGGTTTCCATTGATGTATAGGTTTCCTTTTTTCTAATGTTTCTACTTAAGGTTCCCATTTTTTGCGGTATCCGTCTTTAGGTTGAAGTTTCCGACTTTCTTTGCCAGGCCAATCTTATTTTAACAAGAAATATTTTTTTGGAATTCGTAACTTACCAAAACTATTCCTTACTGATTCTGAGAGAAAATTAAATTTTAAGATAAGTAGACAAATGCAAATGTTAGCACTAACAGAAGGCGCATTTTTAAAACATTTGGAAATGGCACTTTTAACAACCTCTGGAACAAAAGATTTTCGTATACTTGCCAACAAACAATTGAGTGGTTATCTTATAGCTTTATGGATTGCCGAAAACCAATCTGCCAAAGATTTATTAAATCGTTGCTTGGTTAGATTTTTTTTGAAAATTTTTAAATAATTTTTAGCCTCGCGCCTTGTTGGATTATTTGGATTCTAAAGACCCTCCTCCTTCTATACCAGATGAAAAGGATTTGTTAACTGTCCGAAATAATTTGGAAATGGCTGAAAATTGTGAGAGGGACAAACCTTTTGCGCAAATTCAGGTTTATTTTAATCTAAAAATATTTTTAACAAAAATTTTTTTATTTCAGGATCAACTTAAAAGTGTTCAAATAACTTTAGAAGCTCGTTTAGACACTTTATTACAACATTGGAATTTGGAACAAAAACTTACTTTTTTACAAAATCACCGTGTTAGGGAAGAACAACAAAAGGCAACACAACGCCCTGTTGTGTTGAGAAAGAGAAGAAGACAAGTTAAGGCTACTGCAAATTGGAAAAGTTTTTGGTTTGTAAATTTTTTTAATTTAATTTTTTGTTTGAAAAACAGCTGCAGGGTGAGTAGCTGGGTGGGTATAAAGATACTGTGGGTTTGGTTACGCTGGGGGAGCGTTTGGTTACATTACTGTTATGTTTTGGTTGTTTGGGGGCGCGTCCAGGGACGCGCGTGGAAAGCCTGCGGCTTTAAAAAGACGCTAGATTTGTTTTTTGCTTGGAGATGTACGTTAGATGTATTTATATTCGTTTAGAGCATCTTCTAATAGTTAAAATAATATATACTTTATTGGGGTTCCACTTGAGTCTGAGTGAGATAGGGGTCAAAAGTTGTAAAAATTGGTCTCGGACTGACGTGGTTTTGAGACTCTAATTGCTCGGGTTTGAGACTCTAATTGCTCGGGTTTGAGACTCTAATTGCAGAATTTTTTGGACAAGGGATTCGTGCTCAGCGTGTGTGTTTATACTATAAAACACATTTCTGAGTCAAAATTCAAAAATTTTGTACCCCAGATTTTTTCCAAAGTGGTACCCCTTATGAAAATTATTTGGAAATTTTTAAATGGACACAACTTTGGAAGGGATAAAGATTTTCTGGTCGGGTTTGTTTTATAAAATAATACTAAAAATTAGAAATTTTTAGAGATGGAGAAAATCCACATTACCTCTAAGCTGGGGACGTAGGGGTCTATTTTCAAAAATTTCAAAAATTTTCGGTTTTTCGAAAATTTGTCCGCATTTTCGATAGCGGTTGAAGATGATTGTATTTTTAACGGATAGAGCAGATTTTTCTATATAGAATAGAACTTTAAAATGAGGCAATAGAGGGTATTTAAAAAAAGATATAAATTTTTAAAAATTTTGGAAAATTTTTCGGCTAAAATTTTGAGCCTAAAATTAATTTTTCTAAAAATAACGATAAATTGAGTAAATGGTATACCATTCGAAAGCTCTTATCGAGCTGAGTCTAAAAATATTTGTTGTAAAAATTTCAGTTCAAATTTGACCGAGTTATAGAGGTTTGAAAATTCAGGGGTGGGGGTGCTTGCAGGTGGAGTAGCTGAAGTAGCGTGATTAGTGAAACATAGTTATATGTTCTTGTAAAACACACTCTAATCACTCGAAAAATATATACTTTGTTGGGTTTCTACTTCAGTCTGCGCTAGATAAGGGCCTATGATTGGGACTGAAATGTGTTTGAGACTCTAACTCCCCGGGGAAATTTTTTAGAATTTTTTCGACACCGGATTCGTGCTCAGCGTGTGTAATTATACTATAAAACAAATTTCTGAGTCAAAATTCGAAAATTTTGTACCCCCGATTATTTCCAAAGGGGTACCCCTTATGAAAAATATTTGGAAATTTTTAAATGGTCATAACTTTGGAAGGGGTAAAGATTTCCTGGTCGAGTTTGTTTTATAAAATAATACTACAAATTAGAAATTTTTTGAGATGCAGAAAATCTACATAACCCCTGAGCTGGGGACGTAGGGGTCGATTTTCAAAATTTCAAAAATTTTCGGTTTTTCAAAAATTTTCCCGGATTTTTGATAGCGGTTGAGTATGGAAGTATTTTTCTCAGATAGAGTAGATTATTTTACATAGAATAAGATTTTAGAACGTGTTCATAGGTTATATATTAAAAAAGATATGAATTTTTAAAAATTTTGGTGATTTTTTCGGCCAAAATTTTCGACCAAAAAAGTATTTCTCCAAAAAGAAAGAAAAGTGGGGCAAATTATATATCATTTGGAAGCCCTTATTAAGCTGAGACTAAAAATATTTTTGTAAAAATTTAGGGTCATATTTGACAAAGTTACAGGAATTGCACTTGTAAGAGCAACCACTTTGACTCCATAATAGTGTTGTGACTATTATAGTTAGCCTCAACTGCATGGCTCACAACAGCCTTGTGTAGCAGGAGTTACCGGTGTACGGCCACGGGGAGGCCTGTCAGGTGTGGAAGACCTTGTACACCATTTTTTCTTTATCTGGTATAAGAAATTTTTTTTTATTTTTTTAAATTTTTTTCGGGATAAGAAATTTTTTTGAATTTTTTTATTTTATTTTGACATTTTTAGGATTTTTAATTTTTGAATTTTTTTTGGGTTTTGTATTTTTATTTTTGGAATTCTCTCTTAAGAAATTTTTTTTATGTTTTTTGTTTTTATTTGGTATAAGAAATTTTTTTGTAATTTTTTAAAGAATTTTTACATTTTTAAGATTTTTATTTTTTAATTTTTTTTTGTATTTTTATTTTTTTTAAATATGTACAAGTATCCCTACCGCCATCGGCGACCGAGAGGCTAAAGATAAAGTTACATACGCCAAAGGCGTCTTAGAGGCTAGGATAAAAGTATCATATTCGCCATTTGGCGACTTTAAAGCAAACGTTGGCGAAGGCTCTGGGTATTTATGTCCAGGCCAGTGGAATAGCATTGTGAGACATGTCCGTGAAAAATTCAAAAAGGCATTAGAAGAATTCTAAGCCATCGGCGACTACATTCTTTATCATTTTACTCTTAGTTTTTTCCTTTTCATTTACGTGTGGCGCGAAGACTTTAAAAGAATCAGCTGTACGAACTCTTGAAAGAGCTGTATAAAGGTTACCATGACCAAACACTTGATGTGTGAGGTCGAGTCCAACTCTTGTTGCAGTCTGGCCTTGGGCCTTCATGATCGTCATTGCATATGCAAGACGAACTGGAAACTGCAACCGTCGGAAATTAACTCCATCTTCTCTATTATCTTCGTAATCACACCACACTCGTGAAAGGCAGATAACATGTCCTGAGCCAGCCACAGACCCGGTTACAACCTCAACCTTCAGAATATCATCCCCTAATTCCTTTACAATCATTCTTGTGCCATTCACAAGCCCTCTACTTACTCCCAGATTCTTCAAAAGAATTATAATACATCCTTCTTTAAGGTGTAACCGGTGTGGTGGAATTGACGGAGGATTTAATAAATTTAAAGCTTCAACATCATGGTCGCATTCATCAAAATCCATTGGCGATTCGTCAACGTTCGATTCGTCAGTTGAGAAATAAATTCTTTCATTGGTCTTTATCTTTTTTAGCATGTCTTCATTAATGATATTTGCTGTGTCATTATGTGGCGCTAATATAAGTCTGTTAATGAGCTCTTTCGGATTCGAAAGAGCTTGACCATTGTCAGTGATAAAATTCATCAGTTCTTGGCGCGAACCCACCAAATTCCTACTTTCGATCTCCACTTCCTTATTAAAATTCCCATTTCCAATTCTTCGCAACCAATCAGTGAACTGAATCTCATTTTGTCCCTGACGCATGTTTATGTTCAGCGTTATTATATTATTTCTAAAAAGCGGCCACAATTGTGAAGACTGGATGCAGGCATTTACTTGATCTCGCATACCACCTCCAGCAACCACTGGAAGTGATTGCTTGAAGTCTCCGCTGAGAATGATAACCTTGCCGCCGAATGGAAGATGTTTCATGTTTGGTTCGCACATTTGTTTGCAGACGCGATCAATTGCCTCCAACATATGCTTGGGAAGCATAGAAACTTCATCAATAATGATAACCTGACTGTCGTTAATGCGTTTTCCGTGAAAGCTTTGCATTGCCACTGATGGGGTGTAATTCTCATCAATATGAATTCCGAACCTAAATACCGAATGAACGGTAGCACCGCCAGTCAAAAGTGTCGCTGCACAGCCAGTATAGGCCGAAGCAATCACACGGATGCGCATGTCTCGTAAGCGTGAAATTATAGCATTGAACAGATAAGTCTTTCCAGTCCCGCCATCTCCTGTTACGAAGATGGTATTGGATGAAATTCCGTTGATGGCATTTTGAACGGTAGTCCAGACATTTTCTTGATCGTCATTTAGAGTAATCGTTGGTTTTTTACCGCTTGCAGGATCATCTTCATCTTTGTCGCCAAAGAAGAAGTTATCGAGTGCTTCGTCGACGTCTTGTCGCATCCCGGGGGATTTTTATCCTTGTTTCCACAAAGCTCGGGCTTACAATCATGAAGTTGATATGTTATTACAAGATCTCGAAGGCGTCTTAAACCTTCGGCACGTGGACTTTTATCATCTTTATCTGGTAATGGCGGAATATGAGCAAGAATATAGCCTTCAATAATCTCAGGTATAGCAGGGATATCAGTCGCCATCACTCTGTGGAAGTGAGGACCCCCTCTTTTCTGGAATTCCATAGATTCAGCGTATCCTAATTGTTTCCCAAATATTTTCCTATCAATCAAGTCCTTATGTACCTCCCTAACCTTATCAGCGTAAAAACGCATGACAATGTCAGGCCGATCAATCAATGATTGACCGTTGGGGTAAAGTTCATTCTTCATTTCAGGCCATTTTGGATTAGAAGTAAACGTAAACATGAACATGGCGCATCCTCGCTTGCGTTTACGATTAATAATCGTGCACGCTGACTTATAATTTTTCTTAAAGTATGCCCTAAACCCCGGCATATTACTTCTAAAAAGTACAACATGTCCTACTTTAGCTGCGGAGGATCTGCCACTATGTTTAGCAAAATAGTCTACCATATGTGGCGGAATTTCCCATCTTAAATCCATGTCATCCCTACGTAAATACTCAAATACTTGGGAATCAATTCTGGCTGCAATATCAAGCGCGAACTTCTGACCCAATCCACCACCAGTACTCCAAATATGATGATAGGATTCATTTTCCGGAAATCGAATACCAAAGCGATAACGATAGAACGCCCTCATCGAAAGATTGGGACGAGACCGGCTAGGTTCGTCACCATAGACATCTACAGATCCGCAGTCGCTATCAGCAATGGAGCCGGTTTCCGACTTGTTGTCATCAAAATCCTCTTTAGCATTATTCGGTTTCTTAGCAATTTTAATATACGGTATTTCAGTAGAATAACCCTCGTCTCCGAGCAGAAACATGCAAGGGTAGAGTATAGAATCAGTCATAGGATGATTAGACCATAATTCGGTCACATTTCCTTTGAGGGTAATCCAAATACCTCTGAGCGGCGGAGGCTCATCAGTATTAGAAGACCAGATCGCAAAAACAGTGGACTCATCATGTGTAGGCAAATTAACTTGTCGTGGATGTAAGTTTGGTTCTTGAATAGCAGCAGGCGCATTTTTATCTTCGACTAAAATAACCTTAAAATTTTGCAGATTCTCCGGAGAGTTCTGTTCAATATCTTTGTAAAATTCATAAGAGTTCTTGAGAATTTCGGCCATCGGATGATAGGCACGAATTAGTTTGTCAAGAACGTGGAACAAATGTGGATTTTTTTTATTCCAATCATCAAAGCTCGTATTATTCATTCGATATTCTGTAGCGACCTTCGAATCCAATATGTACAACTGATCAAAAGATGGAATCTGGTGATCGGCTGCGGTCAAACTTCCAATCCGTCTAGCGAATTCACCATTCAGTAAAACAGGCATTGGTCCACCAGTTGGTGCATTTTGACGACCTACTGAAAGTGATCCAAAAGCAAACAAAGTGTTATATTTCGATTCGTCTCGTATGTATTCCTTAGAGTCCATTGATTCACCAGTTACATGCCTTGCATAGTCATGTGGGTATTCCTTAAGTGGGTCAAGTC